CTCACTCAACTTGACTCCTCTCAGACTCCTCATCTCTCTCTCTCTCTCTCTCTCTCTCTCTCTCTCTCTCTCTCTCTCTCTCTCTCTCTCTCTCTCTCTTGTCTTTGTCTCTAGTCGTGTTGGGTTTTACGTCAGCACCTTCCAGAGTTTGGCTGGTTTCGAGGAGAAGTTTCACAAGGAAATGAGCCGGGTGAGATGCGTCCATAGACCTCCCCAGTGGTGCTGTACTGTAGTGGTGCAGAAAAAACAAACTGATGAAGACTGTCAGAAAACACTTACTGGAAAATGTTGACTGTGCCAGTGACTACATTAGCAGGGGCTCCAATTCTTGCCCTTGAACATCTTATGCTCAGTCTGTTATAGCTCATTTTTTTTATTTTTAGCCCAGTAAATCAAAACCTAAAAACTTGGGGTTTTAAATGGCTGCGCTGAGATAATTCACTGTAATGCTGCCTTAGCCGGAGAGTTGTAAATGCTGTCTGGCTGCAAAATTCGGACATGATGATGCAAACAAACCTGACAGCGCACGGGTAATGGGATGAAATGAATGACTTTGGCGTAGAAGGTGCCAAAACAGTGAAAGATTCTTCATTCAGTGAAAACTAGAGCAGTGCCCATTCTTCACCTGCCTGTTTGTCATGGGCTGTTTGCTTGAGCCACGGAGATGCCGGATGCAGCTTTTCTTTCTGAAACTGTTAAGACAGGCAGTAATTAAGCTGTGGAAAGTAACGACCTGCTGCAGGACTCAGGCCACAGAACCCAGAGCTGCTGCACAAAGAGCTGTTCACCCACTTACTCAAATGTTATTAATATTGAACGTGTCCCTATTGCACTAAATTCAGCACTGCACTGTCTCAGACACCTAACAATACACATGCCAAGTGTGAAGTCGATAAGATGAATGTTTCTCGAGATATACAAGCTGCTGTTGCTCAAATCAAGATTTTGGGGAAATTATATGGTAAAATAACTCACATGCTTCTCTTTCCCTTCCTTGCAGTTGGATCAAGATATGTATGATGTCTTGGAGAATTTGGAGCAAACAGACACAACCAGGTTAGTGAGCAAAGATCTATCAATCCAAATCTCTAATAGCAATACTTCAATGAATCACTGTGGTTGCTCCTCTTGAAGAAAATACTCGCTGGATGTCTCCTTATGCAAAAACAGATCTTTTTCTGAAATGTTGCCAAATATGTGCAACTCCTGAGAGACACGGCTCACCATGTTTGATGAATGTAATAAGCCCAGATCAGACCTGGTATCAACATCCATCCTGAGACATCAGTCGTCAGCTTAAGTTTGTCTGTACACACCTCACATAAAGATGCCTCCTGAATGTGTCTCCTGTCGCCACTTGGGATCGAATCTAACTTTCCTGCTCTACATTCAAATAACGCACGTCATTTATGCTTGCGAAAACCAACGTATGTAGTTTTTACCCAGTTTGACTTTAAACACGTGCGATAACACTGTGTTTGTGTGTGTTTTGGCGTAGGTGAGAGAGAGAGAAAAAAGAGAGAGTCCGAGTCAGAAGGAACTAAATGAATGATTGATTGAATGTTGGGTGTTATGAGGAAACATTTGACCAATTCAGGATTGATGTTAATACCAGGTATGAACCATAGTCTCCATCACGTAAGTAAGAAGAGCTGTAAATTGAAAATTATGCCAATCTTTGGTTCTTTTGAACGTTTAAAGAATAAGATGTGGTGGCATAGTCATAGTAGTACTAGTGGAGGAGAAATGATAGAAATTCCAATTATTAAACCACTGATTGATTCACTGATTGAAACTGATACTTGATCTGTCCATGTGGAACATGTGGATCCTGTGGTTTCAAAGACTATGGGTTCCAAACAGTTTTATGAAGACACAGGAACAGACACACAGAGTAACATGCATTAACCTGGAGCCAACCCCTCCTTGCAGAAAGACAGGTAACCGCGGCGCCTCAACGTCAGGAGCAAATAGGAGGTAACCAGCAGCATCTGTGGTAACCATGGTGACACAACTCTTTGTCTGTCTGTCCAACTGGATCGTCTGTCCAGCTGTATTTATGTCAGTCAGTCTGCAGGCTTGGGAGATTTGTTCCTAGAGAGAACTAGTGCTTGGTTGTGCAAGTGAATTCACAGACACACTTTGTGATCAGAGAGTTGTGCGCTCAGATCTGCAGATGTACAAGAGATGAGCAAAACTGTGTATTTAATGCTGCACCAGGCAAGACTGCAATGATAAAGCTCAAATCTCAAGGTTCTCAGCGTCTCATCCATTAACTGAGACTTGTTGAAATTAATGTGTACCCCTGCAATACACCACTTTTCACCCCGAAGCAAGAAGCGTCCTTCTTAGTCACAACATTTCTTCCATGACCCTTTAACACTGTCTCTTTAACATCCACTGGTAAACCTGCAGTGCTGTCTGATTTTGGGGTAATTCAGTTGTAGGCACTGTGGCAGTGGGGTGCTGGCTGGAAATCAGTCTTGAATAAAATGGAAAAAACAACTGACCAACAATACAAACAATAAATATAACAATTTGTTGAGAATTTTGTTTTGATCTTCTAGGCTCTTTTGTAATACACAATGTGCTTGAACAAGGACTAGTTTTCAAAATATATTCAAATGAATATCATTGTAAACAAGGAATGACCTAAATCCTAGATCCGCCACTGCCGTGTGGAAAATTGGTCAGGTAATTAAAAAGTACCGACCAAGGATTCAAGATTCAAAGATTTTTATTGTCAAATGAACAGGAGAAAGATGTTCCCCTGTGCAATGTAATTCTTATGCTGTCCTTCCAGGAATACCAGCAGACAAAAATCTACATCAGAATACAAAAATTTACATCAAATACAATAAGGCAGTAAATAACAAATTAAAAGTAAGGCAAAAATAAGGCGAATAAGGTGAAGATTGTGGCCCTTATAATGCCAGTTGATTGCTTTAGTGTCATACATTCTGTAACAAAGTTAGAAATGTAGTAACACAAGCCTGTTGACGCACAAATAGCTTGGAGCCTTTGGGCCCCTGGAGTTCTGGGGTCCCATCGGTTGTACAGTCTTAGAAATGTGGAACCTTAGTTTTGAGACACTGTCAAACTCATTTAAAGCCCTGAATGTACACAATTGCCTTATCCAGCATTAAGTTGCAGGTATGTTCTAATCTCTTTGCACATCTGCAGATCTGGGGTGGCTTCATGTAGGACATGCTCTGTATGCCTCTCATCACTGCTCGCTTGTGAGGATTTACAGGAGGCACACACTAAGCCCGCTTGCATGGGATGGGAGTGATGGAGGGAGGCTCACTTCTCTTGCATGATAGCTCTTGCAATGACAATGTTCACTTGAACTTCTCTATAGCATGCCATGTAACTTCTCTTCTGTCATGTTTTAGCTTTTAGCTGCTCCCTCTAACCTTTGCTGCCCTCCTCTCTCATATCATCATTCACCATCCATGTTATTGTCTCTGTAATCTGTCCGTATTGTCTTTTTGTCCAGTGGCAAAGAACCATCTAACCACACTCTCAGGCCAGGAGGACCTCCCCCTATCCCCAAATCTCCATCCAAGGTAAACACACATACACACTGAAGCGTTCTCTATTCAGATGTGTGCCACTGAACGATGTCTCTCAAACTGGTGATGGCTGCATGTCATCTCTATGACTCTATAACTTTTCTTGGGTAAAAGTGAGTAAGAACTTGCTTTTACTTAAAAGTAAAAGTAATTATTGAGTGGAAAGCCTATTCCCCTCATAACACATCATCAAGGTTTAATCTTGACTGCAGCATTTCTACTGCTGCAAGGGCACTTTGCTCTTGTTGAAGGAGGAAGCTGTGATTGGATTAGTGGACCAATTCCCCTCTCATTATTAATTACTAATTATTAGTTACATAATAACTATGTGAACGTGAAACGAAATGCATTGTTAAAATGTAGTGGAGTAGAAAGTAGAGGCATCTGTAGTTCTATAGTTAAAGTACAGTAATACATTTACTTTGTTAAATTCCACCACTGGGATTACATCTCTTTAACTAGGAAGGAATCTTAATCCTTAATTTTAGGAATCTCAATCTTAGTGATGGCTGCATGTCATCTTTATACAGTTATACCTTATTCAAAATCTCTGCTGAGAAAAATGTAACTAGTTCTAAATTATTTTTTTCAGCATTTGTAATTTCCAGTAATTTTTGGAAATTGGATTATCTAAAAACACTTTTGTAATATCCAACTGCAGATTTAACCATGTTAGTTAGCAGTTTTGCTAAATCTCATATTAATTCTTTATCCTCGTTTCTCGGTCCTAGCTAAAGCCAGCAGTGCCTCCTCCACCGAAGGTGACCCCGTCTAAAGAGATGAAGACAGAGAACATCATCAACCTGTTTGATGCTGCAGCTGCTCCTGATATCAGTGTCACCTCCCCAACAGAGGTTAGTGACAAACTGTGGAATAGCCCTTTAACGTCCCCCTTTTCTGTGCAGGTCAGAACTTGCACCTCCTCCTAGTTTTCTCTTTTCTTTTCTTTCCCCGTCCATTTCCATGCCTTGTCTGTTGTACCCAATCTGCCAATGAGCGCTCCTATCCCTGTTGTTATCAGTTTGACAGTCCTGCAGTGAGCAGCCTGTTGGACATGGACCTGGACTCTTTCAGTGCGGCAACCAAAGCCTCCGCGGTCACACAGGTGGATGAGTCATGGCATGAACGTATATAATCGAAGAGACACTCCACTGCAAGAAATGCCAAACTTTCACAAGATATTTTATGTTCTATTCAGACGGTTTTTAAGTTCATTTCATGATATTTAAGTACAAAAGAACTTGTAATGTGGGGGAAACAAGTCTTCAGCTGCAATATGACATATTCCAAGTTGGACAAATGAAAAGGTGAAGGGTTAAATTTCCACAGTGCCAGTTGCCAGAGCAGTTATTTGACTTTAAATACATTGAAATAAGCTTGGATGAGTCTGGATACAAAATTAAAATCTCTTGGTAGGTTTGGCTTAGTTAGAGGTGTCAGCTGCTCTGCTTCTTCTTTCTGATTTTCCAAACTAAAGGTGGATGATGGCATGATGATCTGTAGAAACCTGCTTCTAGAAACCACTTCTTCCTGCTTCAGCACAATCCACAGATCACTCATGGCATGAACTGTTGACTGATGATAGCCCCCCTCTGCTCTGACTTCTTCCTCTGAAGACCTTGACAAAAGTGTTAAACACTGAAATGATTTGAGTTGCGCTTCAGTTAAAATAGGCACCAGAACAGTTTTCTGATATGTTAAGCCCAGGTCTGCTATTTAACTTTAGTACAGAATTATACCTGATGATGAATGGCATGTATGTAAATGGTTTGACATAACTGATGGATAGGAGAGCCAAACTGGCCCTGTCATGACAATTTGAGGTTGAGATTAAATAGTCCTGATTTTTTTCTGTTTGTGGTGACTGAGAAGATTTTAAAGAGGGGATCAGGGGGCCTTTGGAATTAGTGATATTTAAAGCACCAAACTTTCATGCTCAGGTACAAGTCTGGTTAGACATTCAGAATCATACTATAATCCATTACTTTAATTGAAGTGAAATTATATTCATTGAATAGGAATTTTTAAAACATTTCATATTTTGATATAAAACAATGCCAACAATGAGCAATGTTACTGAATGCAATAAAGATGGGGTGGTTGACAACTCAACTTGAGCTCTTTAACCTCAGTTCAGTTTCAGTTAATTGGTTTATATTACATATTTTCTGAATGGGTCAGGCTCAACAACTGCCCACAACCAAACAGTGGAGAAAAGGTGAGCAAGTAGCTGTGCAAATAAAAATGTAGAACATCTAAACTAGATATATTTTCCCTGGAGTTATTAGAAACCAAGCAAGACACTGAACAGATTTATATCAATCAAAACACTGTGTTATAGATTCCTTAACCTTAAGCGTTCCTCTGAGTCAGCAGTGTTGACATCCGCCTTTAGGGCAGCAGTCTGTACATATAGCCTGAGAGACTTAACCCAGGGTAAAATATACTGCGTGAGTCACCACTGTTCCTTAAGCTTATTGCTGTGAGCACAAGGTAATAATAATGATAATAATAATAATAATGATGTGAAATCATGTTGTTTTCTTTGAACTGCACCCCCGCTGTTAGGTTATGACCCTTTGAATGAATTAGCTTTTGTGCAGTAAACACATGACAGGATCTACTTCTTTCTGTTTCTATCATTTGCATTTCTTCTTCTTCTTTTTCTTTTTCTTCTTCTTTCAAATAGTACTGTTCTGTACTGTAGTGCCTGTTCTCTAGTTCTGCTGAAGATCTCCTGCTTTGGGCTTATAGGTTAGCCGCATGGGACCTGCACTGGAAATGTCTTATTGAATGCAACGAGCATTAGCAAAAAAAACAAACAAAACATAAGACTTTATTTAAGAGTTTCATTCTGTCTTCTCATCCTGTTGCCTCCTCTGTTTTCCACAGCCTGCAAACTGGGACTCATGGGTAAGTTAATCACTCTCATCCTACAACATGCGTAAAAATAATGATACATAATTATCATTATGATCATCATCTTTATCAGCATCTTTTAATTTGTATTCATTGTCATTGTTTGCATTTACTACCTATGTATATAGCAATTATACAAGCCCCACTCTCACTACGCTTGCTGCTATATAAGTATCTATCTGGGGTGGGACTTCTATAATGGTTATTTCTGTGTATTAACTATCATATACTTTCCTTATTTTATTTGTTTGTCCCAAATCTGTTTGTGCGTTGTCCTTGTGTCTGTAGTGCTTCATGTGATGACACTAAACACTGAAGAGATTGTCGTACAGCACAAATAGATGTTGGAAATTGAGTCAATTCATTTTCAAATGGATATTTTACACAGTTGCATGAATTATATAAAATATATTAATTATGTCCCATATGTAGTGCTCTCTTCTTTTTTGTATTAAGGATATGCAATTATATATAACATACTGTCGATCAAATGTCTATTAAGGACAAACTACAAGACTCAAATCAAAGTTTATTGTACATTAACCATAAATGTAAATTTAAGATCTGTAATGTGTAAAATGATTTGTAAGTGAATTGACCCCATATTTTTCTGTCTCTCCTTGTATCCCTGTATGTTCACATGCTACAGCACTCGCCCCATGTGACACACAGGGAACAACTTGCTGAAAGTCGAGTGAAGTTGCTCATTTTTGCAGCAGATTGCTTTGTAGAAACAAGACTGGAGATTTAGTGGGCAACTTCACAAAGCCTTGCTTGCAACTTAGCATTCTGATTATTAAATTATCTTTTGTTTTGTTCGCTGTAAGAGGGACATGTCTCAACAATCATACAGCTCTGCTGTATCAGAGCTTGAGGCAAAGCAGTGATGGCTCCGAAAGGCTCCGACACTTCTACTCTTACAAAGCTTCCTTCCTCTTTCTCCATCTGAACATAGCCGTGGAAATAGAAACCATGCTTGCAAACGCCACACAGAAGATCCAACATCTATCTTCTGATGGAAAAGGCTGATTATTTTGTTTCTTTCTTGCCTTCTACTGCCACCTTTCCTTATCTTCATTTGTCTTTTGATTTAACCTGATCCTGCTCTGTAAGGGTTTATCAATCTTCTTGGCTCTTGCGATGATGATGATAATGATGATGATGATGGTGACCCACAGTGTCCATGGCATCTTTCATGATCTCCCTTTCCCCATGATCACAAAACAAATAAGTTAAATCTAAATAATGCTTGAAGCTGACCCCTCAAACCCTCTCTCCTGCTCTAACCACTTAAAAGACCATTCTAATGCTTTTTCAGCTTTTAACCCTTTTTACATCACTGCCAACCATTTTCAAATGGCACTTGTAGTGCAGTGCTTTGACTGAAATACTAACATCCTGCTAATATGCTTGCAATGACATTGTGATTAGGTATGATGTTTACAATGATCACTGTCGACATGATCACTAAACACAGACCTGATGATGGAGAAGCCAAATCATCACCAGTTACGATGAATTTCTTCAACAAATTCAATAGCATGTAATAACTGTTGACACGTTGTGATCAGTGGCAAAATTGTAAACCAGTCAAAATTAAGGTAAGATAAGCAGAAATAATCATCTGGTAAGCATTAAAAAAAAAACAGGGTTAAAGCATTTAAAGTCACTTGCATGGTCATTTAATGTTTGAACTCCCTACCTGACATTTTGGTAGTACCCCCAGACGCCCCTTTAGAGCCCTCTCAATGTCCATATCAATTTCCCCCTGCCCATCAAAAATATTAATAAGATTTACAAACATCATACAATAATGAGGTAAACTCTCTTATAACCTCTGATTCCTTGAAACCTGACCCTTGCCCCTCAGTCTGAGGACAGGGGTGACGAGGAAGAGGAGACCCAGAAGCACTATGACCCTGTGGCTGCTGCTGCAGAGGCCTGGGGGGATGAAGGTACGCACCCTGTCCGCTATGACCCCATAGCAGCGGCGGCAGAGGGCTGGGGGGATGACGGAAACCAACCAGTTTCCTATGACCCAGTGGTTGAGGCTCAGGAGACATGGGAGGATGATGGGAGTCAGCCCGTTCATTCTGACCCCGTGGCTGAAGCCCAGGAGGGCTGGGGCGATGACGAGAGCCAGCCTATCACAGAGGTGCCTGCTGACAGTGATGAAGAACCTGCAGCTGAGGCTCCAGCTGACACCGCCGAGGAAGAGGCCACCCCTGCTGCTGCCACGTTGGATAATGAAGAGGGTCAGGTAACCAAGGAGAGAAAAAAAAGGAGAGATGCATCTGGACAGAAAATAATGGATGCATCGACTCTTGAAAGGAGGTTTGAGCTTGGGAAAGAAACAGATGATAGAGGGAGAAGTTGTGAATGACAGGTGGAAAGATGGAAAAATCCAGAGATGGAAAGAGTTAGGATGCATCTGGGGCAGAAGCGTGGATGCATCAACTGTGACCTAGAAGGCGAAATGGAAATAAATTGATGAGGGAAAGAAATAGAAATATCTGCTTCTCAATGCACTGCTAATCACAAGTCTATGCAAATAGCATCCATGTGCAAAAGCTTTATCTTTATGGTGACCGTGCAATAGTATTTAACCTTGCTTTACTAACTATGACTTTGCTGTTTAGGCTCTGCTGCTTGTCTTGTTGTCTGTCTTTGTCCTGTCTCTATGTTCTTCTTACTTTCATTCTTTCCAATTCCTTATTCAGGTACTGTATGTGTTTCATTCTCTAAACTTTCTCTGTTACTCCTCTTTGTCTCCTGCTCCCAGGAGGAGTCTGCAGAAGCTGCTGCAGCAACAGCAGAAGAAGAAGCAGCGGTAGAAGAGGTAGATGCAATAATTACTGTTAAAGTCCAGATAACATAACCTCAAAGGTTAATATTTTACATCACACATCTCAACTCTTAACATCTTTTTGTTTCGGGAACTGTAATTAGATGAGGTGTCTTAAACAAGTTATAATCAGGTCATTTCATCTTCAGTCCTAATTAATACATAGTTAAATTAAGAGTTCTTTACGCAACAGCCAGTGGCCGCAGGCATTTTGTTGTCTGTCCGTCCGTCCCTATATTGTGAACATGATATCCCAAGAATACTGTGAGGGAACTTCTCCAAATTTTGTGCAAAAGTTCACTTCCTTTTAAAGATGATCTTATTAGAATTAAGAGGTCAAAGGTCAAGGTCATGTGACCTTCTCTTCTTTTGAACACAATATCCATAAACACCTTGAAGTCATTTCTTCATATATGATGAAAACATTCACTTGGACTCAAGGGTGATGATTAGAATCTGGAGGTCGAAGTATATATTATTTGCCTTGTGAATGTGTTATCTGAAGAACACCTTAAGAAAATAATTTCAAATTTGCTATAATTGTTCACTAAGACACATGGATTCAATAATTAGATTTGGGTGGTTTAAGATTCAAGGTTACTGTGGCCTCACAAAATATGTTTTGACCTCTTGAACATGGTATCTCAAGTCTGTCTTTAGGTCAAATGTATGTAGAATGAAACAGCACTGGTTCATGAAGGCACATGACCACAGTGCAGTATTTCTAGTTTTCTACAGAAAAGCCTTGTCAAGAATGAGGATACATTTCTTTTTGTAGAAAAGCACTTTTAAGGACTTTCAAAATACAGGCATGTATATATAAAGTCTGTTGGTAGAGTTTCTCTGTCATTTTTAAGATATCTTAAAAACACTGCTCTTAAGATATCTTAAAAGATGAAGGGTAACAGTGTGAGCAATTTGTCTGTATATTTTGCTTCTTTTTATTGTACAGACACCTGCAGTAGAGGCAGAATCCACAGAACCAGAACCACCAGCAGCAGCAGCAGCAGCAGCAGCAGAGTTTGCAGAGCCTGCAGAGCCTGCAGAGCCTGCGGAGCCTGCGGAGCCTGCAGAGCTTGCAGAGCCTGCAGACATGCCTCCTGGCTTCTTGTTCAAGGTAAATCATGATAGAACACTGAAAAAGATATAAATGTGCTGAGCATCTATTCAACCCCATAGATCTTATAATAATAATTAATGTTGGTATTTATGTCCAGGTCGAGGTGATGCATGATTACGGAGCCAACGACACAGACGAACTGGAGATGAAAGCTGGAGACGTGGTGTTAGTAATCACCTTTGACAACCCTGATGAACAGGTATACACACACACACACACACACACACACACACACACTTGCAAACAGGCAGACTCTGTCACATTGCAGTGACAATGAGTTGATATTTGCATGTATGTGCATTTAGGACGACGGCTGGCTGATGGGAATGAAGCAGGACGACTGGCAGCAGAACAAAGAAAATGCCACTAAAGGAGTATTCCCAGAAAACTTCACCCAGAGGCTGTGAATGAGAGGGACCAAAACATCACTCCAGCTTCTTTCTTTATGTCTCCCCTCCTCTTCCCTCTATTCTCCATATCTTCTCTTGCCCTGATACTGTTTCTTTACTAGGACTTTGGCCATAAGAAGCAGAGCTGTCACAGCCCTTGCTGAAATCATGCATTTCTAAGGTCTGCTGCACTGTGCTAAAAGCGGATCTTGCAATTTCTGTGGATTTCTGCCAACACTTAGAAATTACTGATGTACTTAGTCATTTCACAGGTGCCAGCCTGATCGTGGTACCTCTGCAGTGACTACTGTTAAAATTGAATTAATTATGATGCTTCATGTTTCAGTCATGTCTCGTCATAAAATCTCCAAAGCATAGTCCACCACCATAACCAAGAAAATATCTTTTGAGACATGCTTTTTGTTAATCTGATATCTAGAGATATTGAGAAATGTATGAAGATGTTAAGACAATGCCAAGTGTAGCAGAGTATGCCCTACACACACATATATTAACAGGATATATCTGTTTCACAAAGATTGGGGGGGATGTAATTACTAAGACAAGGCTGAGAGGACACTGACACACTCTGATTCAAGTCTTAAATTCCTCTCTCGCAAAAAGACCGTTGAGCACACAAGGTGCCAAAGTCTAATCAACTAAACTGCACATGTTTAATGAGTCCTGACGTTCTCAGTCTGGTGATCACACTCCTGACACAATGCCATTTAGACGCATCCAACCAATCCTTTACTCCTACTTTAATTATTGACTTGTGAATCATGGGCCCTTGGTTGTTGTATTAGTTTAGATTCAAAGGTGGTATAGGTAGAGTGAAGCTGTTTTTAAAATCCTAAATAAAAGCATATGCAGTTAACAGGTCATCAAACACCAGCCTTGTTAAGGTGACTGCAGGAACTCAATATGAAACTCAAACAGAAACACTGGTCTACAGAGCAGAGAACATGACTGTTTCAAATCATTCATGTAATTAACAGGCATGATTTTTGACAGTCGTGAGAGTCGAGAGATTCCAAATATGCATAAGTCGAGCTTGCAAAAAAAAAAAGCCAACAAACGACACCAATGAGAAGCATGAGAAGCTGCTACTGGTTGTATGTTATTCAGGCAGATACAGATACAGTTACACCCAGATACTAATCGATATATACGATAACTGAGCCAGCCTCATTCGTTTAAAAAAAGAAAATGTGCCGAAAACAATTCCTTCTGTTTGCATAGAGACTACTTAGCTCACATGCAGATGACTCCGAATATGCACCAGAGCAACTTCTTTTATTTTTGTATGCTGCCGAGCAACGATTACATATAGCCTAATGTAACTATGTCGACATAATTGCCAACTGAGGATGTTACGGAGTGTTTTTGTACTTCTGTCAGGTTTTACTGCTCTCAACATATAGCCACACACCGTAGCTGGTTGAAACTATCTCACATCCTGTCATCCATTCGGTCACCAACTCAAGATTCACATTCCTCATGATGTTATTAACATGTAATAAGTGTGAGAGAAAAAGGTATGTGTGACTATGTGCGCGTGTTAATGGGTTAATGGAAACATAAATTCTTTATCTTATTGGGGGGGGGGGGCTGAGGCCGTCCATTTTCACAGGAAGTCGAGAGACAGACGACGCAAATGTGTGTTGGGTCTTTCTCCACTGGCTGGTATTATGATTCCAGGTGTTATTGTGCATTTGTTGTGTATAAGTGTAATTTTTTGCCAAGCTGTGATGACAGATACATATTCTATAAAGACATTCATATCTGTATGTGTGTTACTGTGAGCATGCTGACTTCCCATGTGTTGTGTGAACACCCTTAATTTAAGACGATGATACTTGGGTCACTTTTGAGGCAGCAGAAATCAGGCATTTTTTAAATTTTTTTATTATTTATTTTATTAATCTGGGGTGACATGCTGTATATTTTTTTCCACCATTACCCCTTTACTTTAGCCCTGATTATATTTGCTTGTTGTTCATCAGCCTTGCCTCAAAATGTCGCTGGGGTATCGTGGTCCAAACAGAGTTGAAACATGATTACATGGAGACCAGACACATAGAGCTAAATGGGAGATAAACCACCAGACTCAGTTTTCTTTTCTTTTCTTTTCAGTGTTTTTAACCTCTTGAGATGCATGCATGATGTTTTCACACGTGTGCCTGACAAAAAAAGCCCCACATGTGAGAACATCACCTGCACACTCATGGAAACCAGTCACCTGTCTCTTTTTGTTTTTCAGATTTTATGTATAACTTGTGGAGTGTGTTGCCTGGTCTGGTCTGGCTCTCTGTCTGTCTTTATGGATCAGTCTCCTGCGATGAGCTATGGGATACAACAAAGAGGTTTTTCCTGTACCCAACTGACTGGAAAAAATAAAGATTACTTACAATCTCCTCGCTGATCTTTTGCTCTGCTCATTGTCATCAACCATCATGAAATCAGATAAAATAACCCCAGTCCTGCTCTATTTACTGAAAAACATTTATTGTGTGTATTTTGCAGTTGTTACTTCTTCTCTGCAAACCCTTATATATCCAGAGGGAGGTGCTGTGTTCAAGGACTCAATCCTCTTCCTGGAAAACAAAAAAACCAAACACTTTGAACCATCAAGAGGAGGAAAGAGGAGCTTGCCGAGGGCTGCTGTCCGTGGTACTGAAACCAACCAGCAGCCCACCCTCTGACCACAGCTCTTCATGCTGGATTCACACTGTGGCAGCTTATGTCATGATTCACAATCCATTGTGATCACTGAGTGAGGGCTGTTTGCATATCAGCATGAACAGGTGATTAACAGTACAGGTTCGAAACCCAATTGTTAGTCCTTTGTGGTGATTATGAGAAATTAAAAGCCACAATAAAAGCCCTGATTACACAGTAAAAACAGTATTAGTAATATATGGCACATTAACTTTTTTTTTATTATTGCTAAAGCAAATAATACAAACAGTAGTTTTGGTTTAAAAACAACAACTTTATGTTTAAAATACAAATTGTACGCACATAGTTGCCAAAAATAATAATAGTTAACATTATTTTCTAAAAATAGATCTTTAAATAGTCTCTCCAACAAAAGCTTAATATACATATTTAACAAATCGTTGAGCAGGCATATAGAAGAAAGCCCTTGGAGTTCCTATTGATAATTGCAAATTTTCTTGAGTCACAGAATGTGCTCATTGAGTGTTTCCTGAAGGGACACTTGGGTAAAAGGAACTACATGTGTATTAATATGTTTTCAGACACATATCTTTTCCTAGTGTTAGAGATCTGATTCTCTGAACCTCGGCCCAATGAGGTCTTGGTTGCCAGATGAAATACAAAATGTAAATGTAAAGGAAATTTTCTATTCAAGATTAAAGATAAAGGTTATTTATCAAGATGCATAGCTGTTGCTTAATACAGTAGTTGAATACAGCCTGAGTATTGTGTATGTCTTACCTAGGGACTACTGACCTGAAAATTGAAAATCTGAAACCTCATGAAAAACATGTCACAAAATATCTGATCAAAACATTAAGACATAAAAATGAACCATATAATTCGGTCTGATACAATCAAGTTGGATGATTGTGGCAGACAGACACCTAAAAACACTGCGACACAGTCCATCATCATTCCCTGACAGTCAGTATTGTTTCCAACGTGGCTGTTTTTGGTTGTGAAACTACAGTGCAACACCAGCATATTGATACACTGCATTCAGTAATTACAAAGAACCTCACCATACACATTTTAATGAGATTCAGAGGTTTTGCAGTTAAATATTATTTTGTCAATTTATTCTGATATACATCTCAGGCTCTATAGACTGAAACTATGATTTTCAACAGTAGAGTTCAATTGTTCTTCTTCTTAAAATCAATTAACTGTATAAATACCTATGTACACACAAGGCTTTAAATGTTCGGTCCCTAGTTTCCTTCACCTTCTTCCTCATGTGTCCATTATGTCTAACTGTAACAGAATGTCCCAGCTTGATATCAAATGCAGAAATGTTGAGAGATTACAATAAATACAGTACAAAAGGAATGAGGAAACATGATTGTCTTAATTCACTATACCTACTTTTTTGATTAAAGCCATAGATTTAAAGTACCAGTGTGTAGGATTTAGTGGCATCTAGTGGTGAGGTTGCAGATGGCAACCAACTGAATACCCCCTTCCCTCACCCTACCTTTCTAAGTGTGTAGAAGAATCTACAGTTGCCTTCAGGTAACAAAGAGAGATGAATGGTCCTCTCTAGATCCAATATTTGGTTAGTCCGCTCCAGGCTACTGTAGAAACATGGAAGCGTAACATGGCAGCCTCTGTGGAAGAGGGCCTTCTCTTGATCTAGATATAAAGGCTCAGTCTGAAGTAACAAAAACACAATGAATTTTAGTTTCAGGCGATTGTACACAGATGAAAACAACACTTTGGATATTATGTTCAATTTCTGCCAATAGATCCTCATAAATCCTGCACACTGCAAACTTTAAGTCACAGTCTTTGCTTTTCATCTCCAAGGTGAGCGGATTGAACGGGAGTGAATTTGTGTTGGTGTTAGAGCTTTAAATGGGATATTCATTTATACGATCTTCTGAAACATCTCAGTCTTTTTTTGTCTCCGTACAATTTTTGGAGTTTGTTGAAGTACAGCAAATACAGGCAAGTAGATTTAGTACAAAATACATTTACACAATTAAATCAATTGTCTTTGGTGGTCCCTCTATCGCTTTCCTCTGTGGAGAGAGAGACAGTTGTGCTCTGTCCTTTAGCGCTCCTGAATACAGGTTATTGAAGTGTCTCTGTGGATCCTATCTATGTCCTTGCTCGATCCCCCAGGGGTGGAAGTGTCCAGCGTCCAGCAGCGTTTGCCCCAGCCTCTGTAGAAGCCGGGGATACCAGTGCAGCCCTTCAGTCTGCGGTTCTAAAGGCCCTATCAGGCTGTAGAGGAATCTCAGTGGGGATAGGACCCAGTGGGCCAAGTGGTGATTGTCCACAGCAGCATAGCAGGACGCCAGCACACCGTTCACCACTATAGACCCATGCTGGGTGAGTGGGGCGTACAGACCGGTGGTCCTCTGTTCCTCCACAAAGGATACAACAGAAAATGCTGCCTCTGACCCCACCTTCCCTTGCGGCGTGAGTACGCACTGTCCTGGACGGACCTCGCTGGCAAAAACTGACTTCAGATCTGCCTCCCAGTGAGGCCTACGCCCCAGTATGGAGCCCAAAAGTGTATCTTTAACTTCGTCCTCCTGTCTCAGCTCTCTCTGCCCACCAGCGCAGTCTGTGGCAAAGATCAGGTGAGCAGCTGTGAGAGTAATATTAAGTCCTGTCTCTGTGCCAATGACATAGAAGGTCTTTGTGGCGTTGGGCTGGCGGTCGAGGAAGGATAAAAGTGGGCTGTAGAGAAGAGGACCGCTGCCATCTGTCGATGAGGAAGCTAAGACACGGTCACCGGGGTGAAGATCGCGCATCTGTTTTGTAGCCCCTCCCTCAAGATTAACCTGAGCATCACCTGGGAAACAACCACCGGTTTTGGCTGCCACAGAGTGTTCTGGAGAGATGAAAGAAAGAAGAACAAAATATGAACTTACTTTGAATTAATGTAGTTGAGTCTCACTTTTTATTGAGTAGACAAAACATTATGACAAAGAAACTCCGAGGAGAGGAGCAGCAGTCCAGCAGTGACACTTGGAATTGTGCAGGTTATTGTAGGTCACAGAGTGATTCACAAACTGTTCAGACTTTGACACTGACTCACAGACAGCTTTATCTCAGTGGATCAGTGGTAGATTGTTAACATATTCATAAGATGTTTGCCTCTTACTCTCTTCTTATTCTAAGACCTTGTACACAGGCAGAAAAATCTGCATTTGTTCCTTCATCTACTCTATACAAATGTTTTATGACTGTTTTCTATATTATTTATCTGGTGTGGATAAAACAAAAGCAAAACAGGCATTTAAAAACAATGTCCCTTAAAATCAATGATATATTTTTAGTGGTGAAATGCTCATTATGTCATAATTCAGATTCAGCTTTATCTGTATATGTGACTGCATATACATATACATGGGAGCAAATGCTGTAGATTAAAAAAACAATGTTAAAGACACATTGTCCATATATCGATAAAAAAAGTATAATATTTTGAATATAATACCAACATAGAAGAGGGATTATACATGTTTTTTGTTTTTCAGGTATTTGTCATTTTCTGCCCAAGTGTTTAAAACCACATTAACTGTCAATTATCAGTCTTGAAATTCGAGAGAAATATGAATTTGATATTGTGAGGATTATCAATATGGACTATTATGAATATTTTCATCAAGATAACCTTTTAGAACATATTGTGCTGTTTGATCCTGTTTGTTTTCTGGATCTGAATAAGGTGGCCCTTTAAGACTCAGTGAGACGAAGTGGCAAAGAAGAGGTAGTCAGCAGGAGCTAATGGATAACCAACTGATTGTATCACCGCAGTCGAAGCACGGCCTGGGGTCAGAGAGACAGGAAAGTACACAGACTCAGACCTGGGTCGAGATATTGTTTGGATTACAGCAGAGTTTGAGTTTTAAACCTAGTCACATGATTATCCATAGATCCACACGCGGAAAGAGCAATGACACTGGAATGAGCTTGAAACCCAACACTCAAATCTGCTCATTTGGAGAAGTGGATTTACATTTAATAAACTGGGAATAAAATAATAAGAAAGAATAGAATAAAATGGAGCAATTTCAGTTTTAAATGAGAATTGCATCTGTCTTCATCACTCTTCATTGTTTTGTGTGCATGTATGTCTGTGTGTGTGTGTGTGTTTGTTAGATACGGTCTAAAGGCAGTCTTAAGGCAGCCAAATATTTGTTCAAGGTGTGTGTGTATGTGAGCCTGAGGACTGCAGAGAAGGAGGGCTGTGACCAGGGAGGTGATAAGACCCTGATAAGAGATCTGAGAGAAACCTGCTGAAGGAAAAGCAACAGCAAAACAAAGAGAGAGTTAATCATCTCACAGCCCACTAACCTCGACAGGCTGCTGCAGGCCGACTTGAATAAAGCTTGGCATCAAATAACTGGTGGTGCCAGACATGGAGAAAACTGACTTCTCAAATGTTCGAATAGCTTGAGGAGGAATGTGGTCAAGTATTGTTTGTGTGAGGCCTGGATGTGATTTGTGTTTCATAAAGCATGTGTGTTGAATAGTATTGCGATAAATTAGGGGAAATTAAATCATACAATTAATCGTAGAAATGCAGAAAAAGTCTGTTTAAATTCATTTATTTTATCCAGTGGATCACTGCGCTTGTTTCATTGTAATGTCCCACCATTTATGGACATTTTACACTGGCTCTATCTGCATTACAGATACATTACACAGGTTGGCCCAAGACAAATTTTCCCATGGGGACAATAAAGTATATTTGATTTCATTATATGATTTCATTTTATTTTATTAATACTCCACAGTCACAATAACCGATCGCTTCATCGTGACATCTGACCGAGAAGTGAGACTGAATACAGCAAAGAGCACAGGTGCACGCCCTGCTTTGATTGGCTCCCAGTAGGCCATACACACACGCACACACGCACACACACACACACACACACACGCACACACACACATGCACGCATTCACACACACGCACACAAACACACACTCGCACGCACACACACACTGATTGTGCAGGCACAGAGAGGCAAGCTACAGTGAATCCCCAACAAAGGGTCTAGCATCAACCTCATTAGCTGTAATGATGGCTGGCCATAACATACAAACACACACACACACTGTAGCTCACATCCATCTCTTACCTGACTTGACGCTACAGTGAATATGGGCTTTGGACTCGTAGTAGACCCAGTCGAATCCAGCTTCTACTGCCAACCGTGCCAACATGGCATACTTATTTCTGTCCCTGACAAAAGAAGATACAAAGACATTCTAAACTTCCATTATGATTAAAACAGAGCTTGATTAACAAAGATGACTTGCCCACAAATCTACAGAGAAACATTATCTGTAGACTGACATTTATGCAGGTATAATAATTATCTGAAAAGTTGTGAATTTGATCACAACTGCAAAAGAAAAAAGCACTGCAGCAAAAAAAGAAAACACCATTTGTTTGTTGACTACTTGGTTGACTCATCACATCACTGATAAGCAGGCTGACTTGTTGACTGACAGACTGAAAGAAATTTTGCCCTAGCCTGTTCCTGGCCTATTTACACCATATTATCAGCTGCATTGTATTGCATGCCTACCTGTCTGACGTAGTGATGTCAACGGCACGTCCCTCATAGTGCAGCGAGTCCTCTGAGTGGTGGCCATCTTCATCCCAGCCCTCTGTCACCCTCAGCTTCACGCCCGGCCACATGTTCATCACGGAGATGGCCAGAGAGTTCAACTTGTCTTTACAACGCTAAAGAAAGAGGAGTACGGACAGTGATTGAGAAATGAGAGGGAGGTTGTCAGAAACGAACAATCAAGAAACCAGGTACAGTTCTACTATTGATAAAGAGGAGAAGGACTGAAAATGAGAAGATATCCCCATCAGGTACCAAGACAGAGGTGATAAGCGGATTGGGTAACTGAGTTGGAAGCTATAAATTGTTTTTGATGTGAATGGTTACACTACACATAACTATTCATGTGTGTTTGCTTATGATGACTAAGCAGGTTTCCAGGCACTCCACACAAGGGTTGAGGTCAAGATGCCCCTCAGCAGTGGAGATGTGTTTGCTCAACACTAATGATTCATAGTTGAAGCAGCAGTTGACTGCATGAATGAATGAATGAATGCGTATCACCCAACTCACAGCAACCAGACTGGATGGTGCTTTGTGCGGAAAGAAGCCACTGGCCCATATGTTCCAGAAGCATGTCGGTGAAAGGCATCTTCTTATGACCACACCAACATTAATACTATGAAATGAAACTTAGATAGTGATGTTTTTTGTTGGATTAAATGTGCCCTCTGAGTCTAACCCTGAATTGAGTGATTATTACGCATCTCCACGTGTCTATCCTCGTGGAAAGTTGCGAAATTTGACAATATCTGAGACTACTCATCACAATAAGGCTCAGTTCGGGTGTAAAGGAACACTTCAGTTCAATAACAGCAGCTCAGAATGTCGGGTAGGAAAATCCAGAGGCGAAAAGGCTCGATGAAATCAATTGTTTTGGTTTAAACATTTAACTGACTGCAAATATTCAGCAGGCAATTGACTGCAACAGAGAAATCTCAAGTGGAGGGGCTCAGCTCATTCAACCACGTGGAATAAATCTGCTGTAGTCATCTGACGGTTCAGAATTAACCGAATGCAATCTTGAAAATGAATTTGCATCCATTTGCTTCATGCACCCAAGTGGCAACCGCCTGTACCCTCTCATCTCTCCTCCTCACCTGTGTCATGAGCCTGTCTGCGCCCGTGTCCTCCTCATCCTTGAAGATAATGTCTGTGTTGTAATTCGGCGTCAGTTCTTTGAATCGCTCCGAGTTGCGCGTAATTTTGCCCTCGGGTCGCCCGCTGGCTCCCAGGGTCTTCTCGGCAACGTTGGGGCTGAACTGCTTGTAGGCGAGCGGCGTGAGCTTCTTCGGGAGCCGCCTCTTGCCGTACCCCCTCCCCGGCCCGCAGCCCTCCGAGGCAGGTGCGAGGAGGAGGACCAAGGCACACAGAGAGGCGGTGAGAGGGAGGAAGGAGATCCGCATCGCCCCGGGAAAGGGGAGGGAGAACTCTCCCTGGGGAGAGAGACCGTCTTCAGTGCCTCCCCGGCTCAGGTCCCGACTCCATCGTCCGTGACAGTCGCGGCATCACGTCCGAAAAACTCGGATAGGAGAAGCTAAACACCTCGGCTGCACCGGACACCATGAGGACACCGAAAAAGTTTTTTTCCCAAAATAAAAAAGGACTCAAATAGAGAAACTGCGCTCCCTCTGCCTTGCAGAACCAACAGTAAGTGTACAGGCTGTAAAGTGCGTGTATTTAAACAAACAGGTTCAAAGTCGATTTGGTGGGTGAGAGACTCAAAGAGAGAGGGAGCGGTGACTGATATCCAAGTTTTCAGTGTTGTGGTTTCTCGCCCTCTCTGTTTTTCTGCTCTGGGAATCTGTCCGCTCTCGCCCGCTCTTTGGTTGGTGCGCGCTCTGGATCTGGAAGCCTTGTCCTCTCCATATGCGACACCGGCGCGCAACAAGCTGCAGCCTTCCAGCTGAATTGGAGGGATTTGAGTGATCCAAAACGATCTGTTGCCACTTCAGACCGCACCCTGCCAGTCCTGCCCTCCTCTCCTCTCCTTCTGTCCCTGCACTCTGCCACCCACCCCGCCCCTCCCTGGGCACACGCAGGGCGCACTGGAGAGTCCTGTCCACACTCTGCTGGCAGGCAGGAACATAGTACGCTTTGCCCTTCATTGCTGCCACTTCACATTTCCAGTTGCTGTCTTCATTTGACTGTGCCCTTGGCAGCTCCTGGCAATCCTGTTTATTCATGTTAGACTGTAAACAACAGGGAATCAATTAAACTAATCAATCTCCTGGTGTAGGCTGCCATTAGTGCGATATCTAATTGACTGAGTCAATATAGGTTACTTGACTTGTAGACTGGCCGACTTACTAAATCCATGACAGACTGGCTGGCTGGTTGAATAACTGCTGACTTACAACTGGGCCTATTAGTCCAGATGATCATCCTCATTAATTGAAAAGATTAATTACTTTATGCCACTTTCCTAATATGGACAATCAACATCTTTAATTTATGAACTTTAGCTGTCTGGCTCCCATGGCTGCAGGCTGTGTGTGGCTAACACACTCACACACATACACACACTGCAAATGCAGCCCCTCCAAATTAGCTCCTCAAATATTTGCCAGCAGAAAATCAGCGGTCTCACCCCTGTTTCTCAGGGCAGGCTCCTTTTTGAATGAGCTGAACTGTACAAGGCTGAGGGTTTCCACAATTTATGTTTTATTATTTGCGAGCGCAAACACCATAAAGTATTTTTGCCGCGCCGCCGCTTCACATGTCTCTTGACGGAACAGAGAAAGGCAAAGAGCGAGATTCACACGGTAAACAGCCATGTATAGCCGTGTTTACCTTTTAGCTGAAATAGAACATCAACGGACACTTGTGTAAATTCATTAGAGCTATCCTGGTATGTAACATACAAGCCCATTAAGAGAAATCAGAATCAGTCACAATGGTGTTAGTGTTCTGCTGAATTTGTTTTTCTTTGCTTTCTAGTGTAAAAGGAATACGGGAGATACTTGAACATTTGTGGAGAAGTGTTAAAGAAGTCTCTCTGGACCCACATTACCAAACATAAATGGACAGAAGGCTCATCAATCAAGCTTTTGAAAATCCTTATACTAAAACATTCCCTCATAGAGCTCTTACATCGAGTAGGAGTATATGCAAGATAACCATTAGAGATACAATAACAGTTCTTCATAAAATGTCTAAAGATGACATGAAACTAAAAGACATTACCTCATCAGTAAACATGATTTGTGCACAAGTCGCACCAGGTAGATTTTCAGCAATAGTAATTAGGACAACAACTCCCATGATCCCACATTGCCTCATGACAAGTTACATAGCCTACTGTATGTTTAAAGATAATTTTCTGGTTTCTGATCGAAGACAGATTTTTTTTAAACAGCTGGGGTAAGTTCCATTTTAAAGATACAACTTCAGAGTTTCATGAAAGTAAATGCTGATACTGGTGTCTGCCTCTTTTAGTGTTGCTCTGTCTGCATGTTTACGAGGTTTGTATTTATCTGAGTGAGTTTAAAAGCAGAAATTTATTTGCAAATGTGTTTGTACCGACTTTTGCAAAGGCATATGTTTTCCTGTAACTATCAACATTTTGTGTGTGTGTATGTGCGTATCATCCTTCCTTAGAAGATCATAAATACGGGCGTGGCTCCAGGCAGGCCCGCTGCCTATTCAGCGTGGCTGTCGACAATGCTTCAGAAGTGGTCACATCACCCATCCATCCATCCCTCCCTTCATCCATCCGTCTCTCTGTTCCTCTGTGACTCAAGAAAGGACACCGCAGCCTTTCAAGAAGGCAACATATCCGATCAGATCAAACTAAAGTAGAGCCTCACACCCTTCTCCAAAAAATCATCTCTGTTACTATTCATCAAACTGTCAATTTCTCTCTCTGACACTATTTGTGTATGTCAGTGTCTTTCCACACTACTGACATGGTTCTGTAAGGTCTGAACTCAAGAATACACAAGCAGCGACACACATATCCTGGCATGTGTGCATAGTAAGCTCATATGTTCACAGATACACACACATACACCAGGAAAGCCGACAACCCAACCAAGAATCAGGCCCTCGTTCATTGATGTTTGTCAAAGTTATTAATTTTCTCTGTGAAATAAGAGGCCACGGTGGCAGGACAGAAGGAGATGGGTGCCAGTCCCAGATTCTCCCTTTGCTTTCATCTACTGACACTGGGACTCTACGAGTCCACAGCACAGGGCCTTTACATGGGCACCGGGGTTACCCACGCATACCCGGGGCCCTAACCAACAAAGGCTCTGAGTGGGGCAAATGGAGACGCAGATGAAAGTAAATGCTAAGAAGGAGATGAAGAAAAAGAGATGGGGAGAATGTGAAAAAGAATGATACAGAGAGATAATGAGAGAGGGCAAAAAAACTGAGATGGAGGAGGACTCATTGAGAAAGAAGGGAGTAACATGTGAATTGAGTAGTTAATAAAAGAAAGGAAGAGGGCAGACGTGTTGAATGAGTAGGAGAGAGAATGGCATGGCACATTAGCTGGTAAACAAGTGAATTTGGGTTGTTTTGCAGTCAGTGGAAGCTAGCGTGTCTGTGGCTTGCGGTGGATTGCTGTAATGGGAGTTAGAGTACGTTATGCTCAAGGTAACAACAGCTAGTGGCTAAAACCACCATCCCTCTTCCTCCTCCTCCTCCTCCTTCTGTCCCTCCACACACTCCAACCCCAGACCACAATAAACACCTAACACTACGTCTCTATACACTCGGCCTCTAAGCATCAGAGTGGTCCTGTTTTAAACCTTGTAAGCCCTAATCTTCCGAGACAAGGAGACAAAACTTCCTGGTTGTGCTGCACTCAGCCTTCACACATTTCACCCTACATTTTTGGTAGCTAATGCCTCTTGCCAGTGTGAGTAGTTTAGGTTCTTAAAGTCGGAGCTAACATGGCAGCCAGTGAAAACCACTCTGACCAAATCTGTCTATCAATGGTTCCGAGCGGCACCGATACTAGTTTTGCTAAAGGGCAGTTTAGTGCATGCAGCCTATTTGGACGGAGAGCAGACAGAAGGAAAATAAAAGCAGGATTATATAAAAGCAGAGCACGGGCTAAATGTGTCTTGGAGTTAGCGGGCTAGGTTAGCCACCGCACGGCTAAAGCAAACAAAGAGCTGCCCAGGGGACTGAAGTACGCTGCGCTCTGACACTAAACACATGTAGAGATGGAAGCGTGTGCACACGCACATACACGTGCACATGCACATACATATACTGGCTTGCAGGTATTCACACACATATAAAACAAAAAACACAGTTAGGCTACACATGCAACATTGCGTTAGCAATAGCGCATGCACACAAAATTGCAGTATTACACGCAAACACATGTTTTTTTTTACTAAGAAAACACACACACACAAACACTAGCTTTCCTTATTCAGACTTTATTGACTTCCATTCATTGTGGACAGCCCAACCAAAACCTTATTCCAAACCTTAACCATGACCATTCATCCCTAACCCTAACTTTAACTTAACCACAATTCACAACTTGCTCCCAACCTTAACCAGGACCTCAGAAGTGATGTGTAAGGACACTCAATCCAATTAAAAATAATAAATCATAATTAAAAAGTTTTCCTTGGTTAGCCTCCTATCGGCCTATACTGTCAGAGTGAAAGTACTTGGACCATTGGAAAAGAAGAGACAAGCATTTTGCTAACCATGACTGACACTGATGTAACCTTCTAAATGCAGCTGCAACTTCTGCCTCAGAAATATGATCATAATAATAAATGTAGTCAAACTGCATATTTATTAATTACATATGGAGAGGTTTTTTTTAAGTTTCTTCAAAAGTCTAGTCTTAAATTAAGACTTGAGGGCTGAGTGAGACTCATGTTCTAAAGATTGGAGACTTGCTTTGAGTTTGTTGACAAAGAGGAGGCAAATTTGTATGAAGTGTCCTAATAACAAGTCCGGTAGCTCGGTAATGCCAACAATAATGCAGTCAGTGCTTCTGCTGCACCCTCTCCATGTCAAACGAGGGATTTTTTTCCTCCTCCCTCTCGCCATCCCCCTCTCTGTGCCTGAGTGCGTGCCACATCTGCGGGCTCTGTGGTGATGTTTCTCTGCTCAGAATGGATTCACCAGCTCAAAAACGTCCTTATTATATTTATATTTTACTACACCACTAGAAAACCATGCCAGCTGGGCTGCAGAACTTTGGGCAGAAAGAGGGAGAGAGACCGAAAGGGGAGGAGGGCATGTCAGGAAGAGAGAGAGGGGGAGGAAATGGAAGATGGGGGAAAAAGGAGAGAAGCAAACAACAAGCAAAAACAGAAAAGAAGGCAGAGAAAGACAGACAGGTAAAGGTATAGGAAGGAGAAAGTGTACTTTGTGCTTGCAAGAGAGGAATGGAAAAGCACAAGAAAGGCAGAGAGATGGATAGAGAGGGGTTGAGTGGGCACCCTGAAATAGTCTGTGACAATATGATTACCCAGGGTGCTCAAAGGTAAACACAGAAATAGACTGAAGAAATGAACAGAGGGAAATGAAAACAGTGCACACACATTCACGTCCATTCACACATGTCTAACTGGAATCCGAGAAAAACGACAGTAACCTCTGATGATTGGAGGTGCAGAGAGGATGGCTGGATGTGGCTTTGAGATGAG